ATAAGAAGACAGGCCATAAACTGGCAAAAGATATTTATTTATTTAAAAATATTTTAGGTACCAGGGATTGAACCCAGAGGCACTTAGCCCCTGAGCCACATCCCCAGCCCTCTTTATTCATTTTTTAATTTTTGTTTTTAGTTGTAGATGGATACAATACCTTTTATTTATTTATTTATTTATTATGTGATGCTGGGGATCAAACCCAGTGCCTAACATATGCTAGGCAAGCGCTCTACCACTAAGCCACAATCCCAGATCTTATTTTTTTTTTAATTTTTTTTATTAGTTACTCATGACAGTACAATAATCTTGACAATTCATACATTTGAATCAAATGGGATATAACTTCTCATTTTTCTGATTGTACAGGTTGCAGAATCACATTGTTCATACAGTCACCTATATACATACAGCAATAATAATGTCTATTTTATTCTGCTGCCCTTCCTATACCCCCTTCCCCACCCCTCCCCTCCCATCACATCTCTCTACCAGACCTTATTTTTTATTTTGAGACAGGGTCTAAGTTGCTTAGGGTCTTGCTAGTTTGCTGAGTATGGTTTTGCACTTGCCATCCTCCTGCCTGAGCATGCTGAGCTGCTGGGATTACAGGTTTCTGCCACCATCTCTGGCTGGCAAAAGATATTTAGAAAACAACTGAAAAAAAGAATGTCAGTATTCAGGGTATATAAAGAATCCCTATAGGGCTCAGTTGGTAGAGTTCTTGCCTCACAAGCACAAGGCCCTGGGTTCAAGCCCCAGAACCACAAAAACAAAACCAAAAAAAAGGAAAAATCCAAATTAAACTTTATTTTCAAAGGCACTTATTTAGGTATACTTATTTAGGTAACAATGTGGAGTTTCAAAGTCCAAGATCAGGTAGCACAGGGGAACAGGGGAACGTTTAGCCTTGAGTGATGACGTAATGGTGAACGGTGTCATAATGGCAGGAATATATGTGAAAGGAAGAGATCACGTCTTTTTTTTTTTTTAAGTATTTTTTTAGTTGTCAATGGACCTTTATTTTATATATTGATACGTGTGCTGAGAATCTAACCCAGTGCTTCACACATGCTAGGAAAGCGCTCTGCCATTAAGCCCAACCCCAGCCCAAGAGATCACATCTTGAAACAGGAAGCCAGAGAGGGAGAGGGACCACCAGTCTTGCTCCATTGGTAATAATACTTTCAGGAGAACTACCCAAGGGGTTCCATGAGAACTGCCTTAATTCCTTCCAAGGGCAGTGTCCTCAGTGACCTAAGAACCTCCCTCTAAGCCCCACCTTTTAAAGTCCACAATATCTTAGCTTCACTATCACTTCACTAAGGTCTAAGCTTCCAACACATTTTGAGGTACACTTCAAATCATATCAAAACCATCACAGTAGGAAAAGGCACAGAAATTTCACAAAGAACACATGGCTAAAAAAAGTGGCAAAAAAAAAAAAGAATAACAACAACTGTTAATCTACTACTACTGTAAAGTAATAATCAGGAAAATCCAAATTAAAAGAACAATGAAAACCAGATTATATATATAAACACAAAACAACAACAACAAAAACAAAAAACTCCTTCCATCTTGCAAAACTATTAACTTCTGGGGTCTGGGATTGTGGCTCAGTGGTAGAGTGCTTGCCTAGCATGTGTGAGGCACTGGGTTCAATTCTCAGCACCACATATAAATAAATGAATAAAATAAATAAAGATCCATCAACATCTTAAAAAAACAAAACAAACAAAAAAAAATGACAACTGTTAACTTCTAACTTTAACTAGAAATTCAACAAAACTTTCACCTTTTACCCAGCCCCTGGCAATTACTGATCTACTTTCTGTATCTATGAGTGAACATTTTAGTTTGAGGGATTGGTGTACACACACACACACACACACACACACACACACACATTATTTTGTATGTATGAAAATATACTTCTTTTCATTTTTGTTGTTTTGAAATTCTGTTCCCCTCCCGCCATGTGAAGTTAAACACTGGCAGAAGATATTTATTTAAAAATATTTTGTTGGGCTGGGGATGTGGCTCAAGTGGTAGCGCGCTCGCCTGGCATGCGTGCGGCCCGGGTTCGATCCTCAGCACCACGTACAAACAAAAATGTTGTGTCCACCGAAAAACTAAAAATAAATAAATAAATAAATAAATAAATAAATAAAATAAAAATATTTTGCATACCAGGGATTGAACCCAGGGGCACTTAGCCCCTGAGCTACATCCCTAGCCTTTTTATTCATTTGGAGCCCTGTCTCAAGACAGTTCTCACCCCTTTCTGGCCCTGCATGGCCCCAACCATACCTGTTTCCCAGTGAAGGTCTAAGTTGTCATGTTCAAACTTTTATCCCCTAAGGACTGGAGAGGGAGTCTAGGAGTACTTTACCACTGAGCTACAGCCTCACCTCTTTTTTTTTTTTTAATTTTTTAAATTTTGAGACAGGGTCTCACTAAGTTGACGAAGCTGGACTCAAATTTGTAATCCTCCTGCCTCAAGCCTCCTGAGTTGCTGGAATTACAGGCATGCATTACCAGACTTGGCTCATACTTTGATTTTTAAAAAATATTTTAGTTATGCATGGACACAATATCTTTTTATTTTTCTTATTTTGCCTTTTCATTTTCATGTGGTACTGAGGATTGAATCCATTGCCTCACACGTGTGAGGCAAGCCCTCTGCCACTGTGCCACAACCCCAGCCTTTCATATTTTGATTTTTAACGGGTTGATATATGGAAAAGAACGACAAAGCCCCAAATTGGCCAGAATGTAGTAAGTGCTAGCAGGTATGTAAAGTAAAACAATTTTAAAGACACTTTAAGATTTGACACAACAAAACTGGTATTCTATGAGTTTTTATAGCAATTGTTTTCAATTGGTTTCTAATTATTCACTGCTATTATATAAATATGATTCATTTTTGTGTGCTGACCTTGTATCCTTGCTAAACTTTTTCTATTGCTGTTGTTGATCCTTTAGCATTTTTCTATGTAGACAATGCTGTTTTTTATTTTTCTTGCCTTATTGCAATGGTCAGAATTTTGAGGTAATATTAAATTGGAGTGGTTAGAACAGATATCTTCTTTACTTTGTTCCTGATCTTAGAAGTCTTTTACCATAAAGTATGATTTTACGTGTATGATTTTGTAAACATTCCTTATCAATTGAAGAAGTTCCCTTTTATTCAGAGTTTTCTAGTTTTTAATCATGAAAGGATCTTGAATTTTATCAAATGTTTCTTTTTGCATCTATTGATATAAATTTGTGCTTTTGCTTCTTAGATTGTTAATATGGTGTATAAATTGATTGATTTTGAAGTGTTGAACCAGCTTTGCATTTCAGGTTTAAATTCTGCTTCACACATATGTATTATTCTTTTTTAAAAAATATTTATTTAGTTGTAGATGAATACACAGTATCTATTTATTTTTATGTGGTGCTGAGGATCAAACCCAGTGCCTCACACATGTGAAGCAAAAACTTTACCACTGAGCTACAGCCCCAGTTCCTGTATTATTCATTTTTAGTGTTGCTGGATTTGATGTGCCAACAAATTTGTTGCAGATTTTGGTCTGTAGTTTTTTTGTACTATCTTTGTCTTTTTTTTTTGTGTGTGTGTGTGGGGGGGTGTTACCGGGGATTTAACTCAGGGGTACTCACATCCCTAGAAGCCCTATTTTGTATTTTGTTTAGAGACAGGGTTTATTGAGTTGCTCAGTGTCTCACTTTTGCTGAAGCTGGCTTTGAACTTGTGATCCTCCTGCCTCAGCCTCCCAAGACGCTGGGATTATGGGTTTACGCCACCGCGCTCAGCTCTGGCTGATTTTGATACTGGTAAAATCTTTCTGGAGGATAATTTGTCAATAGTCAAAGCCTTGAAAATGTGTATGCCTAATTTGTCAAAGCCTTGAAAATGTGTATGCCTAAGGACTTGGCTTTGAGGAATTTGTCTCAAGGAAATAATTCGAGCTGGGAGCGGCGGCATATGGGTAATACCAGTGACTGAGGAGGCTGAGGCTGGAGGATACTGCAAAAGTACGAGGACAGCCTCAGCAATTTAGCGAGATCCTGTCTCAAAATAAAAAGGCTGGAGATGTAGCTCTGTAGTAAAAGGCCCCTGCATTCAATCTCCAGGACAGGGAGGAAAAAAAAAAAAAAAAAAAAAAGAGAGAGAGAGAGAGATTCCTATTAAGATTTTGGGTTCAGATAGACCGGATACAAGTGTGAACCACTCCCTTTCTTAACTGCTTAAATATTGTGGGTCTGTTTCCCTTGTAAAATGGGGTAAGATATCCATTTCACCGGACTGAAGAAGAGTCAATTCACACACAGTGCCCATTACATGACAGGCCTGAAGTAAATGGTAGCTGTTAATACTGGGTAGGTCGGCAAGTCTACCAAATCGGAGGCCATCATCTTTGCTCCCGTATTAGCTCCTATTACGAAATCCTTGTAAACGGGCACTCTCTTCATCCCCTATTCCTCTCTCTTCCATCAGACGTGCCAAGCCGCGGGAATATAAAGGCAAAATAGATAACGGTCCCGTCTTCGCGAGATTGAATCCATTAGGGAGACGGGAGCAATCAGTTCCATGTAATAATCAACACTATAATGGGGCGTCTTCCCAAGGAGCAGCAGGCCCTGGACGCCATCTCGCAGCGTTTGATTCAGGACACCAGACGGTCATCGAGCTGCGGGGCCAGGAAGGAGGGCGGAGACTTCTCCCGCGCGCTTCGGGTCACTGCGAGCCAGCGTAGAGGCTTGCCGTTACCATAGCAGCAGAGTAGCCTTCCCCAGCCACACCGCCTCTTCAGGCGGGACCGGTCACCCCAGCTCAGTTTCAGAGCCCTCAGAAAAGCCACTTCCGGCCGAGGCGCACCGTGGAAAGCGAACAACCAGAGCTCCACGTCTCTGATTGGCCTAAGCAGATGAAAGGGGCGTACCTACTTCTCTCAAACCGAAGTTTTCTTCTTGGAGCGGAAGTTGACCTTTCCCGCCCCGGAAGTGCAACCCTGGGTCTTCCAGGTGTGGATTCCGCCTGTCATCGAGATGCCGGGAGCCGCGGCGAAGGGCTCGGAGTTGTCCGAGAGGATCGAGAGCTTTGTGGAGACCCTAAAGCGGGGTGGTGGGCAGCGCAGCTCGGAGCACATGGCTCGGGAGACCCTGGGGCTGCTGCGCCGGATCATCACGGACCACCGCTGGAGTAACGCAGGTGAGGCAGACCTGCCTCGTTCACGTCCCCGATCCCTAGGCTAAGTTACCCAGGCAGCATTGTAGCTGCTCTGTCCCACACCCTCTCTCTCGGGCTGTAGGGGAGCTGATGGAGTTGATCCGCAGAGAGGGCCGGAGAATGACGGCCGCGCAGCCCTCGGAGACCACCGTGGGCAACATGGTGCGGAGAGTGCTCAAGATCATCCGGGAGGAGTATGGCAGGTCAGGCTCACGGCCTGGGCTCTGGGTTGGACGCAGTGACACTTTTTGCATGTGCTCTCTGAACACTTAGAGCAACTACTGTTGCTGAGCAGCACCTGTTGCTTACTTGACTATTCCTCCTCCCCATTTGGGTCTTGTTGCCCCCGTAGACTGCACGGACGCAGTGACGAGAGCGATCAGCAGGAGTCCCTGCACAAACTCTTGACATCTGGAGGTCTGAGCGAGGATTTCAGCGTCCATTATGCCCAACTGCAGTCCAACATAATTGAGGCGATTAATGAGCTGCTCGTGGAGCTGGGTAAGATGACTGAACACTGGGTGGACCCAACAGGTCGCAAGGGATGAGAAAACAGAAGCAAGCCCCTGGAAGTCGTTCATCAGCAGAGGTGGGAAGGATGACCCGTCTTCTGGTTCCTTGATTAGGAATGGGTGGAATAGGCAGCAGGACTAAAGTAATCTTCCCTACTTTTCCTGACAGACCAATCCTTTATAGGCTGCAAATCCTCTGTCTCAAAGACTCTATTAGGATAGGGCTTTATTTTCATTTCAAAGAAAATAAACTTCCTAAAACCACACTTGCTACACCCTCCCTTACTAAACTTTCTCTTATATTTTTTTTCTTCATACATATATACCTTGTCTCTGAGATCCAGGAGACCTACAGATATTCATTACAGAGTTCCTCATAGGATAAAAAGACTAGGTTCTATCTGTGGCCCAAACTACTGCTTCCAAATTCCTTCTCCATTTTTCTCTTGCTTCCCTCTCTCAGGTAGAGGTTGTTGTGGCCACCTTTTGGAGAAAGAGTTCTTTTAGGAAGGAGCTGTTTACCTCACAGTCAGCACTTTCATGTTCCCCAGATTGCTGTTTCTCGCCTGTGCTTACTGTCTTCAGAGCAGTTGTAAAAGCCAGCATTGTGGCAGGGAGGAAGTTGATGAGCAGGAATGCTGCTGGAAAAGGGATGCAGGCTAAGATTTTAGGAAGTAGAAAATCCCAGAGGAGGGGAGCTTTTAAGAAATTGTGACATTTCATTTTAAGCCCATTAACCTGTGGTACTAGATTCTGCCAGGTGGGCAGTTTATGTGAAGGGCAAACATCCCTTGTCATACTGTTGTCATATCTGTGATGTGGCATAGTGTTTTCATATTTTCCTTACAAAAAAATGTTTTTGCAGAGGGCACCACGGAGAACATTGCAGCCCAGGCTCTGGAGCACATCCATTCCAATGAGGTGATTATGACCATTGGCTTCTCCAGAACAGTGGAGGCCTTCCTCAAAGAGGCTGCCCGAAAGAGGAAATTCCATGTCATTGTGGCAGAGTGTGCTCCTTTCTGCCAGGTAGGGGGACTGTTAGAGTTGCTAAGAAAAGTGAAAAACGAGGGAATAAAGGAAGGATGGGTGGAAGTAAAACATTAACAGAATTTTCAAGTTGTTCATCTGGTGAATATTTTCAATCTATAGTTTAAAAAAGTTGGGTGACACTATTGGGTCCAAGAAGAGATAAACTGGTTCTTTTAGGAATCAAAAGAGGGTAATTTACTTTGGGGATGATGGGTGCTTGGACTGATCTCACCCAATCCTTAAGTAAATAATAGGTTTCAAAAAGATAAATATGTAAGGATGAAGGATGTTGTAAAAGAATGAGCCAGGAGCTGTTGTGGCAGCTGTGCTCCATTATGCAAGCAAGTTGTATTTCCAGTTTTGTGGCTACTCTAGTGCTGCTATGGAGTAATATATATTTATTAGCTTTCCTGCGGCTCATAAGAGTATACCCATCATAGGCAGAAAAGGGAGTTATCTTTTGGAAACTGGCTGCTGGATATGCCTATAGCACAGCATTCCACAGGTCCAGGTACATCTGAGAGCTCTTTTTCATTGTTTCTTTCTCTCACAGCATCAGCCTTTCCCTTCTATTGCAGGGTCATGAAATGGCTGTCAATTTGTCCAAAGCAGGTATTGAGACTACTGTCATGACTGATGCTGCCATTTTTGCTGTTATGTCAAGAGTCAACAAGGTTGGTATCTTTCAAGTTACTGTTGAATTCATGAGGATTATATTTTTAAAATACTGATATTTTTTCCTTCTCTTAATATTTATGGTAAGAGAAGAAAGATTCTAGTTAACCCTTTGAAAGTATATACTTAGGCATTTTAAATCTATTAACTGATTTTCTTTCCTTTTTATCTGCATCACTGTTCTTCACTTGGAGTAGCATCTAAATTTGGTTAAAGAATTGAAAAACTAGAAGTAGAATCAAGCTAGGAGTGTCAGCTGTTAGGGATTGGCTACAGGGTTCCTGCCCTAGGCTCAAGAGAACTTGGCAATAGTAGATGGTAAATAAAGAAGACTCTTGGCTTCTCGAGAGGTATGGCAGATAGATTCCAGAAAAGACAGGGCAGAGAGCAGAAGGCATTGCGGTTTCCTGCTCCATGCTCCATTCATTCTTTCCTTGGGAAAGCCAGAACTTTATAGTACTAAGCCTAGGCTCACTTTCCACCTGCTGGTCTGTGATTTCTCAGGGTGCCAAGATGGAGGCCTGAGCATTCAGCCTGTGGTGGCCAATGGCCCCCAAGATGGCTTACATTTTTCTTCTTGTCCCAAAGGTGATCATTGGCACAAAGACCATCCTGGCTAATGGTGCGCTGCGAGCTGTGGCAGGAACCCATACTTTGGCACTGGCAGCAAAGCACCATTTCACACCACTCATCGTCTGTGCACCCATGTTCAAGCTTTCCCCACAGGTATGTCTCTAGTTTGTAGGCAACAGAAAGAAGGAAGCCAGAGTGTAGACTTGAACTTGGCTTTCAACCTACTCATTCTACTCAATGGATTAGACCCAGTAGAGGATAGAAAGAGCCACAGAAGTCTTGATCCAGAAAGCACAATTGATAGTTATATCCTGCCAGTTTTAGAAGTCAAAATTATAATGTCAGGACAATATGGACTAAGGAAAGGCCCTGTGCATACAATTAACACAAACCCCCCGCCCCCCCCACGCAGCCCCCCATTGCCCCAATCATTTCTGAAAATGCCTAGCAGGTTGAAAGTAGGGTCATAGAATTGGTCCTATTCCTCATTGTCATAAAGGCCTGTCTTTATGGCCTGAATACAAGCAGTTGCTAAGTAAAGAGCCATTTTGTCAGTGATAAAAGCTATTTGCATTGAAAACAATCTATTTATATGTCTCTGTATTTTTTAATTGAGATAAAATTCACATAGCATACAATTAGCCATTTTAAAATGTACAATTTAGTGGCATTTAGTACATTCACAGCATTGTGCAATTACCATTCTCTAGCTTTACAACTTTTTGTCATCCCAGAAAAACACCCTGTACCCATTAAGTCATTGCTCCCTACTCCTCTTTCCCCATCTTTTATTAACCACTAGTCTGCTTTCTGTCTATGGATTTGCCAATTTTGGATATTTTTATATCAAAGGAATCATACAATATGTGACATTTTGTTTCTGACTTCTTTCACTTAGCAGAATGTTTTCAAGATTCATCCATGTTGTAACACATGTCAGAATTTCCTTTTTAAGGAAAGATTCCATTGGGTACACCACAGTTTATCCATTCATTTGTGGATGGGCATTTGAGATGGTTCCTTTTGGCTTTTTTAATAATGCTACTTTAAGCATCTGTATATAAGTTTTCTGTGTGGGCATATATTTTCATTTCTCTTAGGTACTTATTAAGAGTGGAATTGCTAGGTCTCTTTTTAAATTTTTTTTTTTCCTTCCTAGTTCCCCAATGAAGAAGATTCATTTCACAAGTTTGTGGCTCCTGAAGAAGTCCTGCCTTTCACAGAAGGTACTGAAGAGTGGTGTGTGTGTGTGTGTGTGTGTGTGTGCGTGTGTTTGATCTTTTTATTGTTGGGGTGGTTAGTAGGATTGAGTACTGGCAAGGTGTGTTTTTTTATTATACACTTGTGAAGACTTTATATTTAGCAGCTGAGTGCTTAGGGACCTGAGCTAGTCCTTTTAATTTGTTCTTAGACTAGTATGTATTAGCTGAGTTCTTGGGGCTATGGTTGGTTGGAGCACTCAGCATTAACTGGGTTTGGCTTTGCACATGATTTGAAATACAGGCAACAATTGCGTAGGAAACTTTACCTGTGTTCATTTGCTGTAGGGAGTCATTTTGGTGAACTGACTGCCAAAGGAGCAAGCTCTGGAATGTTCCTACTGGTAAAACTCACCTATAGCCTGGATGCCCTGGTATATCAGGGTCTTTTTCTCTGCTCAATGAACCTGCTGCCTCCTAAGCAGTTAAGCTGGCCCAAAACACTCTCTAAACACAAAGCACAATATGTGGTATCCTAATTTTTGGAAGTTGAATAATTTCATCCTTTTATTTAAATACCCACTCTTTAAGAAATATGTGTATTGAGCACCGTCATGAGGCACGGCAGCTATAACAATAATAAGGCCCTGTTTCCACAGAGCTTTTACTCTGTGTGAACAACAGACAAGAAATGTCAGGTCCTGGGATACTTTAGGAAGAAAACAAAAGTGATGTCTTAGAAAGTGGCTAAGGTACTAACGAGATTGGGCAAGGGTCTTCATGAGATCACGTTGCCACCAGGTACTGAATGAATAGAACCTGCCATGTGAAGATCAGGGCAAAGGTTTTCTAGGCACTGGTACAGGAGCCTGAGATTGGTAATATACTACCCCATCTGGAAAAAGATGGCCATATGGCTGGAAATTTGTGAGCATCGGGGAGAGTACAAATCATAATGTGGTGGGGTGGAGAGAACAGATTTTGAAGGTTGCAATCTCGAGTTTGAATTTTAATTCAAACTCTCCAATTTGAATTGGACAGTTTTAAGCGCGGAGATTTATGGTCTGGAATCCTGTCTTCCAGTTTTACTTTGCCACAACTTCCCTTCCTGGGTATTTACATGCCTGCATTATTGAGCCTAGGCTCCATATGCAACTTAATTCTTAGAGTAGGAGCCTCAGCTTTATCTTTAGCAGTTGTGATTGCCTTTCAGGGGACATTCTGGAGAAGGTCAGCGTTCACTGCCCTGTGTTTGACTACGTTCCCCCTGAGCTCATTACCCTGTTTATCTCCAACATTGGTGGGAATGCACCGTCATACATCTATCGCCTGATGAGTGAGCTCTACCATCCTGATGACCATGTCTTATGACCACCACTTCTAAGCGGAAACTGCTTGGTCACAGCGGAGAGGAGACTCAATGCTGCTGCTACAATGCATCCTCCTAGCAGTGGGGAAGTGGACAGAGTAAACCTTAAAAACTTGATCCTGTTTCTGCCTTTTTAGTCATCCCAGAACAAGCCACACATCCAGGACTGGCTCTTGCCTTTTAGGTCTTAAAAGAGCAGCAGGGCTTTGCCTATTGATTTTGGAGCCTCTTAGTGCCTAGCTGTGTCTGTTTCAGGGATTTCAACTTTCTGGTTCAGTGGTGTGTTAAACATAACACTGACTACCTTGCTGGGATACAAATTTTTGCTCAGAAATGGCTCCCACACCTTTTCCTAGGCTATGCCAATAAAAGATACTGGAAGGCTCCCAAGATTGTTGTCCTGAACTCTAACTGAACTGAAATTGCAGCAGCAGAACCATTTTCATGTTATCTTAGAGGGCTGTAGTTAGAGGGGAAAGTCTGAACATAGAAGTACAAATGAAAGTATTTACAGTTTTCATAATTCACTGGAATTGGCCCCCAATAACTCCTCAGTAATCTAGTCAGTGGTTCCAAGATTGCTGATTATCAGAATCACCAGGGAGCTTAAAAAAATACACCATTTTGCTCCCTATCAGACCTACTGCATCTGATCTTTGGGGAACCTTGGGAGTTACTTTAAAGCTTCCCAGAAAAGGACCCTCTTAATGTCCCGTTACTAGGACCGTAAATTAGAACATTTTAAAAGGCAGCCTCCACTTCTAGAATTGTGTGTACAAACACTCAAAGATAAGAATGTGCCCCTGGCCAGCGCAGGCAGCCAACTAAGGGTTGCTTGAGTGAATTTCCTAAGGTACCAAATAAAACACAGACACACAATTTACCTTTAATTCAAGCCCTGGGACAGCTTCTCTGCCCTTGGCCTCAAACCCCCCAAATGGGAGAGCAAGGAATATCACAAGAGGCTGGCGAGAGGGAGCTAGCACGTTTGGGAGTGGGCTTTTATTGGGGGACTCTCATTTTTTTCCATCCAAAAAAAGGTCAAAGGGGGCAGGTTACAAGGACAGGTAAGGTAATTTGACCCCTGGAGCTATAAGAAGGCAGGCCTTCACATGAAGACACATTTTGCGACATTTTACGACTTCCAAGATCCGGGTTGCTATCTAGGGCCACTTCTGTGTGTCCTGATCATGGGAAGTGACCGATAAAGCCTCAACCAATCAGGGAAGGAAAATGCTGGTCACATGGCGTGGCACCTCCCACAAGAATGTTCAGTGTCACATATGTAATGTCATGGCTAAATGTTCAACAATAGAAGAAATGTTAAATAAGTATGACATTTTCACTGTGGGACATTATGTATACAAGCAATAGAGGTTTCAAAAGGGTGGCTTGAGAGCACTGAAAGCATTTTGGATGGTTCACCTAGCACTTAATTTTAATTAGTTACCAATACTGAACAATCTAGAGAGTGCCCATTTAAAAAATTCAGATTTCGTGCTTTTCTTGAAAACTTAGATTTTGCAACTCCTAACCCACATTCCTAAGTTGCAGGATTAGCATCTGATTCCACTGGATTGAAAACTTCCTGTTGAACCCACTTAGCTTGTGTATGCTCTTGGTCTAGGCCCTGTGGGCAGATGAGTTGTTACCCTTTAAAGATGGGCTAGAGGGGCTGGGATATAGCTCAGTTGGTAGAGTGCTTCTCACAAGCACAAGGCCCTGGGTTCAATCCCCAGCACTAAAAAAAGAAAAAAAAAAGGGGGGGGATAGATTTGTATGGAAGTTTGTTTTAATATTCTGTAAGTTAAAAACAAGCTGGGGTGGAAGGAACCAAGCTGCAGGGCAAAATGCATAATATGACCCTTCTTCCATTAAAACAAAAGAAAATTATATGATTTATAGTTTTAAATTAAGACATCACTCTGAGTGATCCAGATAATCTGCCATCTTTAGGAACTAGTCATTCTGAAATAGGACTACCTCTTGTGGCAGTGATTGGGTGGAGGGAGGGAGCCTAGGAATCCGCCCCTAAGAAATATGGAAAGGTGGTTTGATAACCACACTTGGATCAACACTGGTTGAAAGTAGGTTATGAGGGGAAGGCTTCTGCTCTGGTAGACAGGCTCTGCCTTGGGTTTCATCTTCCTGACAGGGAAAAACAAGACCAAAGCTGTGTGACTCAGAAGTGTTTGACTCACTCAAGCCTCTGTCAATTATTCTTTCAAGCATCTAAGACCCCACGCTTTCTCAGTGAAGTGGCTTATGGCTACCAATTATGAGCAATTGTCTCCTCTGAAGGCACCAATTCTAACGGCAATTCACTTGGGTACAATTGTGTGGTTTGGAGGAAGAGCAGCAATGAGTCAAGGAATTTAAATCTGTTCCTGGCTCCAAAAATGCTTTATGATACTTTTCTTTGTGCATCTTAGTCTCAGTGTCTAAAATTAGCACTAACATCCTTCCCAGGCATGACTGAGATGGATGAAGGTTAGAAGCCGTCTCATCTGGCCAACTCTTCAGTGCCTAGAACAGAACTGCAGGAATGCATATTCTTCCGGATCTTTATGCTCTCAATTACATAAATTTCCACAACGCTTTGTTTCCTTATTTCCCTTTCTCCCTTTTTCTATTTGAGGAGGTGAAAATGTTGGAAAGAGAAAAATCGATCTGAACCTTCTACATCAACTCTACCTAGAGCTTGGGCCTGGCCCTCCTCCCAACCCTGCAGAACCCAGGGGAAAAAACCCTTGAAGAGAATGAACACAAATAGGGTTCCATGGATGCAAAAGTCTTCCTGAATATGCTAAATAAACCAAGTTAGATAACTAAATGCAGTTTGTAAAGACGCTCTTTCCCACGGTTTCTATCTTCCAAGTTGGGCGGAGGGCAGGAAAGGCACAGTTCTTGGAACTCGAATAAGGAATAGAAATTCCTAATTTAGCCTCAGAAGAGAAGTCTTTGAAAAATACTCTACCAAGAAAAACTTAAGTGTAAAGTGATACCTCAAAGAAAGATTGCCGGGACCCATAGGATTGTACATTTCAGAAATGTGCTTCAAAACCATTTCTCAGAGCAATCCATTGTGACAGTCTTTGGGTTAATGAAAGCCACTGGTCACATGGGTCATCATTGTTAAGTGGCTCTGTAACACTATAAATGTGGAACTCAGTACATCGGAACTGCTTAGCACATATAGTATAAGACCATTATAGTAAAGGTCACATACTGTCTACCTGGTCTTTGCAAAAACTCCCTCTATAGACCTACACCTCCCTGACAAAAAAAAAAAAAGAATATGATATTTGGAAGTGTTTTTTTATCTGACCTACTTCTCTCTTTTTTGTGTGTGTGTGGTACTGAGGATTTGAACACAGGGCCTTCCACACGGTAGGCAAGTACTCTATCATTGAGCTACATCCCCAGCCCTTATTCTTTCATTTGCCAAATTGCTGTTCCAGGATATTGTGCAATGGCTAAGCATTTAGTAAAGAGTCTGAGTGTTCAGTCTCTGCACATCACTCACACAATGGAAGGTAGCCTTTGAACCTCGCTGCACTTGAAATGGCAACCGTATGATGTTGCTATTAAATACTGTGCTAAAGAGAAGGATCCTTTAGGTGGTGACACGTCCCCCTCCCCACCACCCCAGGCATGTTACATTTAGAATTAAGACCTGCCTACAGAAGAAAGAAGCTACTCAGTGGTGAAAACACAAAAACTTGATTCCTACAATTCCTAATTTATATATATTATTCTGCAATTAAAAGAAAGCTACTGCAATGTTGATTAACAACAATCTTCCGAACATCAGAGCTAACTCCAAATTGTTTTGGGGGGGCAGGAGATGGAGGGGCATCACTGGCCATTTCTTGTCTTTGTAGTAAACAGCATGTTGCAAGGCCAAGGTCAGGCAAGGCTGGCCAAGTCTCCTTTCTTCAGATTGCTGCTCAAGTCACACTAGCTCACTGGCTCAGTTTGTTCACAGGTAAGACACTTAGATCCCACATCGATGATTAGGTCACCTGAACTTCAGGAGAGGTCTCTGGATAAGACTGAGTACACTGTAACAAATGGGCATTGGATCAAGAAGGTTAGAAAGGGGCTGGGGATGTGGCTCAGGCGGTAGCGCGCTCGCCTGGCATGCGTGCGGCCCGGGTTCAATCCTCAGCACCGCATACAAAGATGTTGTGTCCGCTGAAAACTAAAAAGTAAATATTAAAAATTCTCTCTCTTTAAAAAAAAAAAAAAAAGAAACAAAAAGGTTAGAAAAACCCTAAATCATAACCTCTTTTTTTTTCTCCATTTAATATTTTTTAGACATTGATGGACCTTTATTTTGTTCATTTATTTGTATGTGGTGCTGAGAATCGAACCCAGTGCCTCACACATGCTAGGCAAGCACTCTTACCACTGAGCTACAATTGCAGCTCCTTGTAACCTCTTCTTTAAATGCCCTATGACTTCTGAAGCAATACACTTTGAAGTGACTTACTACTTGCTTGCTAAATGATGAACCAATGAATAAAAAGAGGGATAGAAGGAAAGAAGGGTAAGGTGCAGATTATGTGCATTTGATTTTCTCAGACTTCCTTCTTTTCCTCTCTAGCTCCACCTCTTTGCTATCTCACTATTGATGAGCAAATCTGCCAAAAAGGGTGAAAATAGGCATGAAATATGGTGGCAAACATGCCCATGAGTTCTCTCTATGAGCCTGCATTGGTTAAGTGTTTGATGAGATGGGTGGCACTTCAGGTGGAAAGCAGGCAGTGAGAATATGGTTCTTTGTGCCAGAAACTGCTCTTCCTCTATTCAGTGAGTTGAGCATGGCCGGCACTGGAAGTTTTGTTGCACTGTTCTGGGCTCTCTAGGGGCTGCCCAACCACATCTGCTCTTCTTGGTTTGGCTTCCTCAACTGGCATATATCTCTAGAACTTGAACTTGGGCTCCCTCCGGCTCTGCCCTTTTTGTTTGCCTTGATTTTGTCAAGTGATGCCCACTTGCTAGAGCCTCTCCACTCTTGCTGCTCCTTGAGCTCCAGACCTGAGCTCAGTTCTGTCCTTGCCTGAGTCCCTCCCATTCTCCACATTCTAGCCTCCTTTAAAGGGTTCTGATACTAGCTCCTGCAGCCAGCTACAGTCTTCTGTCCCAATAACAAAGAGCTAGCTGTGATACCTAAATCTGGAGGAAGTCACCATATTCCATCCTGAATTTCCTTCTCTCTCTGACTAAAGCTAAGACTCCTGAAGGCAGAGACAGCCATATGCACCTTTATTTCTCAATAAATTTTGATGAACATTACTGAAAAAGGAACTTTCAATAATGGCCACATTTCACACCTCTTCTCTCAAGTTTTACTCTGATGTTACTAATGCCTCTACCAACCAGAA